TCTATCTGATGGCTATTCAAATTATTTTAATTAAATAATATTTTGATCATACAATAAAACGAACACTTTCGGTGACTACTATATTATGTAGTGTCATAGTTAGTGATTTGATGGCAGCCTTGGATATATGGGTCTAATCAAGCCGTGGAGGCATACGTTAATCATTCAAATGTTTGATGGCAGCTAGCACTGTCAAAAACCAAACCGAACCGGTGAAACCGAACCGATTCAAACCGATCCGAATGAGAACCGAACCGATTAAAAACCGATTTTTTGAAACCGAAAACCGACCCGAACCGCATTTTAGTAAACCCGAAACCGAACCGATCCGAGTAATGTTAAACCGTTTTAGAACCGAACCAAATCTAAACCGAACTGGAAAGGAAACCGAACCGAAAATAAACCGAACCGTTTCTAACCCGAAACCGTTTAAACTGGCATAAAAACCGTTATAAACCGAACCGTTATAAACCGAACCGTTTACAAACCGAACCGTTTATAAACCGGACCGTTTATAAACCGAACCATTTATAAACCGAACTGTTTATGAACCGAATCCTTATAAATCGAACCGTTTACAAACTACTTACTACTAGGAGTGGTTATTGGGTGGGTCAGTGTGGGTCGATGCAGATCATTTACGAAGTGAGTCGGTTGCAGGTCAAGATGAATATTTAGCGGGACATAAATAATAACCAATAACTCGAGATAAAAAAAGGAACAACATATCAATATGTAATGTGACTAAAACTATTAATACTTGTTCTATGAGATTAAAACATTTTAGCAATGAAGCAACACAATATATATTAAGCATCACTAGTTCACTACAATACAACATCCATGTCTTCTTAATTAGATGCAAAACTTTCATCTATCACTACTTTACCAATTTCAAGGACGTCTTCTTCAATATCACAATCATAACCACGTAACCAATTTTGTGTGGTCACCAACGCCTCAACATTCTTAGGCAAAAGCGCACTCCTATACTTGTTTAAAATACGACCACCCATGCTAAAAGAAGACTCTGAGGCTACCGATGTAATAGGAATGGCCAAAACATCCCTAGCCATAACAGCTAATATGGGGTACACACTACTTTGAGATTCCCAATACTTAAGAACATCGTACTTCTGCCCTTCATAAATTGGTTGTCGAGGAGTACACAAATAAGAATCAATCTCCATCGATGGCCGATTTGATGTGTCATCCTCCTCATCATCATCATTATCAACATACTAGAAAAGTTCAAACAAAATGCTTTTATTAAATAATAAAATTAAAACATAAAATTATTAATTTTGTAAACCACAATAATCAGAAATTGATTACCTTGAATATATCATCATCCAAGTGACTATTTGAATTTTCGATAACAGCTGGGATGGAGGGTGGAGCATTTGTACTTGATGTAAAACCGGAAGACAAAGAAGAATAAAAGTTATACAACTCCAAAAGAGCACACCAGCAACCTAGCCCAGCAACAGACAGACAACACAGCCCAGCTAACACAAGACGACAGCAAAACCACAGCTGCAATACCCTAGAAAACCAGCAGCAACCAACCCCAGCACCCAGCCTGCAGCAGAGACATCAACTAGGACAGCACAAACCATGGCCAGAAAGACTCTGCTCTGAACAGGGCAGAAAACACCCAGCAGATCCTACAATCTAGCCTTGTACATCTAGCAGATCTGGCCAGACATTAGAACAGCAGCAGCACAGGACAGACCCTAGCTAGTACTACATGCTCTAAGCTGAGGTAGTCCATCTACAATTCAGTCCTAAAATATACTAAACACTATTAGACAACTCCTATCTGAATGCACTTGCACTTTTGCAACAAAACAAAACCCAAACTTAAATAAAAAAATCCTGCTAGCATTCAGCATTAACCCACATAAACAGAAACACTAATGAGAGAACAATGCAGCTGATAGAACAAAGGATAGCATTCAGTATATTTGAAGACTAATAGAGCATTATAGACAAAGCCATACATTTTAAATGCTCAACAAACAGCAAACAGTCACAAAGGCAGACCAACAACAACACAGCAGCCTGAAAAAAACCAAGCACAATTAATAACACGAAAAGAAACCACGAGCATGAATAAGGTAACCAAATCAACTCAATTGTTGCTCATGGTACTACAACCACAACCCTGATCAGAACTGAGCATAGCCAAAGCTGGTAAGGCCAGAACACCTCACAAATAGATATAACAAAAAATGAACAACAAGAACAATAAAATTAAAAAATCAGAAATTAAATGAACAACAAGAACAATAAAATTAAAAATTACATGAACAACATCAAAAAATCAGAAATTATATGAACAAATCAGAAATTATATGAAATTATATGAACAAATCAGAAGTAAAAATCAAAAAATAAAGACATGCAAATCCTGCAAACAACGAATCAGCAACATAAAACCGAAATGAAAACAAAAAAATTAACATAAAATTACCTTTGAGCAGTGACGACTTGAAGGAGAGGAAGATTTGAAGATGGAGAACTGGAGAATGAAAAAAAAACGAGAATGGAGAGATCGAAAAAAAAATCGAAAAAAACGAAACGAAAACAAAAACAATTAACTAAAATTTACCTTTGAGCTATTGAAGGCTAAGAGTTCAGAGCTTGAGAGTTGAGAACTTGAGAGTGAGTGAGGATTCAACGCTTCGATTTGAGGATGAAGAAGAAGAACGGTGAATGCTGTGGAATGAAGAGGATGAATGAAGAGGATGAATGAAGAACCTAATTGCCTTTCAGTCTTTCACAGTTTCACGTTTCACTTTTTTTTTTTTTCTCTTTTGCATAATATATGAACCACATGTTTATTTAATTATTAAAGAATCAAAATATCTAAATTCTAAATCTAAAATGTGTTTTTCCTTTTGGTTTTTGGAGGGAAATTTCCCACCATATTTTGTTGAAATTGTCAACCAAAAAAATGAAATTAATTTTCCACTTTGTAAAAATCAAAATTTTTAATTTTATTTTAATAACATTAAACAAACTTTTATACAATTAATTAATTACATGACTTAAAAAAAAAACTAATTACATTTCTCGGATCCCGATAAAACGATATTCACCTTCATAATATCAGCTTTTATAATTTTTTTTAACACACACATTAAAATATTAAGTTCTTTAAATTATAAAATGTGAATCGGTTAGCGTGTAATTTCTAGGCGTTGCGATTAATAAAAAATCGAAAATTGTTCAATAAATAATGATGTCATATCTTAGAGAGTTAGAAGTACTACGGATTTGTTATATGGTTATATTTATATCAGTTTAGCTGTACCTATAAGCAATACACTTGTAATCGTGTAAACTTATAAATGATATAGTTGACTAGTAGATTAGTACATAAATACAAATTACTTAATTAGATATGAGTTATGTCTACATGAGTGATTGACTAATATGACTATATGAGCAATTGTCAATTTAGCATAGCTGCATAACAGATTAGCAGCGTACTAGACTATCATACTCGGTAATATACTAATACCATTTCAGTATTTGATCTACTAGACTCAAGTTAAAAGTTACTCTTTCTGATTAACTTGTTAGTCTAATTAAGTAATTACTAATTACTAATTAGTGACTTAAGCCTTAAGGGTAAACCAGTAAAGGATATACAAAAATATAATAATCTTATGTTTCTCATCCCTTTATACTAATAATATCTAACTATGAGAATATGAGATGGTTATATGTTATGTATCTGTATAATCGATTGAAGGAATCAACATTACCTTCTTCTTCATTAATGTTTTCTTTCATTATACAAATCAAACTACTCTGTAATATCTTCATGTATAACTTTATGCAAATATATAATGATAAACGAGTCTTAATTATCAGTCTTGTTGACTAATTAAGTATCGAATACCAAATTGCAAATTTCGATGTCACAACAACTCATCAAATCATGATTATGACACTATTAACTAAATGATCAAATCAGAAGCAGATAATAATCTGATAGTAAAACAATAATACATTAATGCACTAAACTTTTATAATCTACTTCATAATAAACTAGTAAGATCAGTATAGCTAAACTTAAATCATAACATATATGTATTTATAAAATTAATGAGAATTTGCATATAATATGATGCCTCAATATGAAGTGATGAAGTCTCGGCTTGATATAAAACTTGTTAACTAGCAAAAAGTTAGAAAGTAGTACAAAATTTTTTGAAATCAAAAACAGACTCGAACCGTAATTTAGTAAATCTGAAATAAAACCGATCTAAATAATGTTAAATCGTAGAAGAACCAAACCCGTGAACGAACCGAACCAGTTATAACCGAACTAAAATAAAACTAAACCAAAAAACAACCGAACCGTTTCCAACCTGAAACTGTTTGAACCGGGATAATAACCATTTACACCGAACCGTTAACAAACCGCAACCCGTCTGCACCGAACCGTTTACTACCTGGAATTTTTACAACCCGCACCGTTTACAAACCGAACCGAATTTAAACCGGGTTAAAAACCATTTACACCAAACCGTTAACAAACCGCAACCCGTCTGCACCGAACTGTTTACAACCCGAACCAAATTTAAACCGGGTTAAAAACCGTTTACACCGAACCGTTAACAAACCGCAACCCGTTTGCACCGAACCGTTTACTACCCGGACCGTTTACAACCCGGACCGTTTACAACCCGAACCGAATTTAAACCGGGTTAAAAACCGTTTACACCGAACCGTTAACAAACCGCAACCCGTTTGCACCGAATCGTTTACTAACCGAACCGTTTATAACCCGAACCGAATTTAAACCGTTCAAGAATAAACCGAAACCGAACCGAACCGATAATTATTTAAACCGAACCGAAACCGACCCGTAAGACATTTGAACCGATTTCAAACCGACCCGATTTCAAACCGAACCGATTTCAAACCGAACCGAAACCGAACTGTCAAACCGTTTTGACAGTGCTAATGGCAGCCTTGGATATATGGGTCTAATCAAGCGTCTAAAGAAGAAGTGGCAACTCAAGGGGGAGATGAATCTTACTGATATAGGGTGTAAGTATTTCATAGCAAGATTTAATAATGCTGATGATTACAATTTTGTATTAACACAAGGTCCATGGCTGATTGATGATAAATATCTCACAATTAGGAAATGGACACCGAATTTTATCCCAGAGGAGGCTTCCATAAATGTTCTTACAGCGTGGGTGAGAATCCCTAATCTGGCTGTTGAATACTTTGATACGGAATTTCTAAAAAAGATAGGAGATAAGATTGGGAAAGTACTTAGAGTAGATCGTTCAACTGCTTATGCTGAACGGGGTCAATTCACACGCTTAAGTGTTGAAATCGATCTATCCAAACCACTCCTAGCCAAATTCTGGCTAAGGGGAAAAATTTGGAGGATTCAATATGAGGGTATAAAAATGATCTGTTACAAATGTGGTTTGATAGGACATGCTGAGGACCAATGTGAATTGAAGCACCAAACTGAAGAAATGGTTATTGATAAGCCCAATGATCAACTGAGCCTCTCAGGCCTGGAACGTAAACCACCGAAACGAAAACCTGAAGAAATTGACGATTTTGGCTCGTGGATGCTTGTTAAAAAGCCGGTCCGTAAAAGATACACTAAACCAGAAAAGTCAGCTCCTGTGATCGGGAAGTACGACGGTAGCAATTCAAAAAAAGATTTACCAATACAGGATCAAAGCCAGCCCGGAAAGCAAGCAAATCCGATTAGGTTGGGGTCAAGATTTAGGGCACTTAATCAAGAAGATATTGATAAAATGCAATCCCAATATAATTCTAAGTTGACTCCTCAACGCCAAGAGGAAAAAAATATAGAAGCAAGGGAGGAAAATAAGGAAACAGAATTATTTCCTATGACTAACCAACATCCGCATATTGCTACAATCTGTTTAGGAGATAATTCTCAAAATCATCTTGATTCAATCCCAAAAGATAATCCTTTTATTATGGGAAAAGATATCCATGGAAAAAAGATTTGGACTCCTTCAAAAAACAACTCGAAAAGTTCTCAAAAAAGTACACTTATTGTATCAAAAAATAAAAAATTACCTCTTGCCACTATCACGAACCAAGATGCCACGCGAGAAGTGATAAGAGAATTCCCTTTGTCTGGTGAAGAGAACATAACAAGCAGTCAGTGTGAGAAGTCAAATCAAGAAGCCTTAGAAGCAACTTCAGGAAGTCAAGAGATTGTACCATTAACAGATTCTGACAATGAACAATCACATATTTCCCCCACCTTTGAATGTGATTCCCCCATTGGAAATACTATATGTTGGACAGCTAATGGAGATCCCATACATGGGAATAGCAAACCCCCTGACTCACATATTGGAGGTCAACATGGACACCTGGGTGGAACCGATTCCAGAACCAATGGAATTGGTAATCACCCTACAAATTCCCAATGAAATTAATCGGTTAATCCGATTAATTTCTAATGCATATCTAAGCTCCCTCACCTCTATTCCAGTTTCTATGGGAGATACAATTCCAAATTTAGGCCTAAACTCTACTCCGATTTCTTGCAAGGTTTGGAACGTGCAAGGGGCTGGCAATCGAGCTTTTCTTTCGGCTCTAAAAGAAGTGATCCGTGTTAATAAACTGTGTGTTCTTGCCTTAGTTGAAACCCATATGGGGGGGGGGGGGGCAACAAGCTGATCAGATTATAGCTAAAGGCATCAACTACCAAGGGCACACTAGAGTGAATGCTCAAGGTTTCAGTGGAGGTATTTGGATATATTGAAGAACTGACCTTGTTACTGTTGAGCCTATTATAAAACATGGCCAACATATTTCTATGGAAATTAAACGAATTGGAGAAACTCCCTGGTACTTCACGGCAGTCTATGCTAGCCCAGACCCGACTAAAAGAGTAGAATTGTGGCGTGACCTTAAGGAATTTGCTTCCACGCATAATAAACCTTGGCTTATTGCTGGATATTTCAATGACACTGGATTCTCGTGGGAAAGAAGCTCAAGTAGTGCTGAGACCTCGAGGAGAGCTGCAAGATTTAATGAATGGGTAGAGGATATAGGACTCCTAGAGTTGGAGTTTAGTGGTCCCTCGTATAGGGCTAGGGGAAACAGACACAATACGAGAATTAGTGCAAGACTCGACCGTGCCTTATGTAATGGAGATTTGGAGTCTTAGATTTGCTAATGCAGCCTCTAAAGTCCTCCCAGCAGTTCAATCGGATCATTACCCTATTTTAATTTCACCTAATGGTTTTGCTCCGGTTGCCTCTGTGAACAAGCCATTCTGCTTTCAAGCAGCTTGGTTAACTCATGAGAAGTTTAGGTCATATATTGAAGATAAATGGGATAAACAAGCTCCTCTAGTCCCTCACCTGGACAAAATTGCAAATGACCTTCAAGGTTGGAATAAATCAGTGTTTCATAATATATTCAAGCAAAAAAGAAACCTGCTGGCTCGAATAGCAGGGGTTCAAAAAGCCCTTTCACATCAAAGATCAAGAGACCTAATCAAACTGGAAGCAAAATTAAGACTTGAGGATGAGGTACTCGAACAAGAAGAACTCTTGTGGTACCAAAAAGCAAGAGTTAACTGGATTAGGGATGGGGATAGGAATACTACATTCTTTCACCTAAGCACCGTGGCTCGTAGATGGAGGAACAAAATCTCAGCGATTAAAGCAAGTGCTGATGGAGAGTGGATTCATGACAAAATAGCAGTTCAAGAACTCTTTGTTAATTTTTTTCCAACATCTCTTTATGAATGACGAGGATGTTAGTCAAGAAGAGCTGCCTTCAGACTTCTTCCAGGAATTCTCCTCTAGAGACTGGGAGTTCCTAGCCCGTCCCTTCTCTAAGTGCGAAATTGAAAAGGTGGTTAAGGAGATGGGAGCCTTAAAAACCCCTGGACCAGACGGTTTCCAGGCTTTACTCTACCAGAAGCACTGGGATCTCGTGGCTAATAATGTCTACAAGATGGCTTTGGATGTACTAGCAGGGAAGGGCTTACTAGAAAATTTGAATGAGACTTTTTTAGTGCTGATCCCGAAGGTGGAAGCCCCGGAGCTGGCTTCTCAATTTAGACCGATTAGCCTCTGCAATGTAGCGTACAAGATCATAACTAAAACTATTGTCAATCGTATAAGACCAATGATGCCCAATCTCACTTCTAGCAAACAAACTAGCTTTGTACCAGGAAGGCAGATCACTGATAATATAGTTATTGTTCAAGAGGTTATTCACTCCATGAAGAACAAGTATGGTAATGTGGGCTCTATGGCTATAAAGATTGATTTTGAAAAAGCTTACGACAGACTTCGTTGGGACTTTATTCGTGACACCCTGTATAGTTATTGTTCAAGAGGTTATTCACTCCATGAAGAACAAGTTTGGTAATGTAGGCTCTATGGCTATAAAGATTGATTTTGAAAAAGCCTACGACAGACTTCGTTGGGACTTTATTCGTGACACCTTGTATGAAATCCGATTTCCCCCTGTCCTCACTGAGATGATTATGGAATGTATTACTACAACCTCAATGCGCGTATTATGGAATGGCGAACCATCTAGAGCCTTCAATCCGGGTAAGGGCATTAGACAAGGGGACCCCTTATCACCTTATATATTTGTGCTTTGTATGGAGCGTCTCAATCACATCATTGAAGAATCCATTATAAGGAATAGATGGAAACCGATTTGTGCAAGTAGGAAGGGCCCAAAATTATCTAACTTGTGCTTCGCAGATGATATTGTTCTCTTTGCAGAAGCCTCGATTGAGCAAGCTACTATTATCCATGAATGCCTGGCCCGTTTTTGCGGTGTATCTAGCCAGAAGGTTAGCTATGGTAAATCTCGCACCTATTTCTCAAGAAACATGTCCCCGGAGGACAAACTAAGAGTTAGCTCAGCCATGGGAATTGCAGAAACAGAGGACTTTGGAAATTATCTTGGTATGCCTACCCTTACTAGTAGAGTAACAAGAAAAACTTTTGCATATTTATGTGAAAAGATCGATAGGAGATTGTCGGGCTGGAAATCCAAGTTCCTTTCACTTGCGGGGCGAATAACACTAGCTAAGTCAACATTGAGTACCATGAGCATCTATGCTATGCAGACTGCCAAAATTCCTAGAGGCATTTGTGATGGTATTGACAAAAGAACGAGGCGTTTTATTTTGGGTGGCAGTGAAGAACAACGTAAAATACATCTCATCTCTTGGGATAAAATTCAACTACCAAAGGAGCAAGGTGATCTTGATATTCATTCAACGAGAAATATTAACTCTGCCTTCTTGACAAAACTAGGGTAGAGGGTTCTTACAGAGCCTCACTCCTTATGGTCTTCGGTCTTGAGAGCTAAATATTGTAAAGGGAGATGTGATCTTGACATGTTCGAAACAAAATCGAACATGTCTAATGTGTGGAAGGGGATAACAGAAAATGTTGTGCATATTTATGAAGGTGCAAGAGTTGCTGTGAATAATGGAACTAGTACCCTTTTTTGGGATCATAAATGGGTGTGAGACCGAACTTTAAGAAGTCTTGCCATTGATACTGTACCTCCAGAGATAGAGGGGGCAACGGTAAGTGAGATGTGGGATAGCAATCTTGGTTGGAAATGGGAACTTTTTGCGGATTTACTGCCTAATGAATCTCTTCAAAGGATTGAAGCTTACATTATCCAACCGGATTTCGGAACAGGAGATCTCCTCTACTAGGGAGGTTCAGCCAAAGCTAAATTTACTATTAAGTCGGCCATGAGGATCATCAAGAAAGAAGATGAAGGGGTAGATGATGGTAGTTGGGAGCTAGTCTGGAGATTAAGAGTAGCTCAACGCATAAGGGTATTCATGTGGTTGGTGCTCCATGAACGTATCATGACTAATGTCAACAGATTTATGAGGAATCTCACGGATGACCCCAGATGAAAAATATGTAATAGGCACGATGATACCATTATTCACCTTCTTCGTGATTGTACTAGGCTAGGGACATATGGAACCAAGTTGGGGGTCCTGCTAGTATAAGAAGTTTTAAAGAGGGGAACTTGAAACAATGGATTATGCGCAATATAAAAGTCTAGGTTAGAAACGATCATTCCCCCGAAATTTGGCCAACCTACTTTGCTATTGTATGTTGGTGGATATGGAAGTGGCGAAATAACATCACGTTTGGAAGAAGCAATGAGAACCCCGTAAATGCTAGTCAATTTTTACTCGCAAAGTTTGAAGAAGCATGGAGAGTGCTAGGTGATGGAGGAAGCTCAGGTGATCCCGTAACTAGAGGAAGAAGTGAGATGCTAGTTAAGTGGGTTGGTCCCCCTCAAGGCTGGCTAGCCATAAATACGGATGGGGCTGCAAAAGGAACACCCGGACCAGCCGGAGGGGGAGGGGTGATCAGAGATTGTACAGGAAAATTGTTGTATGCCTTCCCACTTAATCTTGGAACATTTAATGCGTTCGTGGACGAAGCTCGTGCGGTAGAATTTGGTCTAGACTTAGTTTCAAGACTTAGTCCATTAAAAATCCAAGTGCAAGTTGATAATCAGGCCTAGTACGGGCATTACGGGGGGATAGCAATTATAGAGGTGAAAGTATACATATTATTAACAGATGCAAAGAGATGCTAGAGGATGAGAAGTGGGAAGTGGAAGTCCAACATATCTATAGAGAAGCAAACAGAGCGGCAGACTGGCTAGCTAACCAAGGAGTTACTCAGAACAACAAGATCGAGTTGATTCAAGTCCCCCCATTACCATTGAGTCGAATTTTGTATAATAATGTTGTTGGGGTGGCTATGCCACGTTTAGTTCCCATTTAGTCTTTTTTTTCTTTAATTGTTTTTCTGGGGCTTCGCCCCTCGTTTGCACCCAAAAAAAAAAAAAAAAAAATAGTGATTTTTTGTTTGCTCTGACATCATACAATCAATAACATAATACTAAAATAAACATTAGAATTGACATGTATCACTTCTTGGTGATGTTTTTTCCCTCCAAAACCCCCCCTCTTTTTTAGCAAAAATCTTATATTTTTGAAATATTTCTATAATACAAATATAATAATATTATTCATAATCTTATATATTATCTTTATAGTAATTGTATTTCTTTTTATTTCGTAGCCTATTTACTTAAAAATAGTTGCACAATATTTTAAGACATTTTAAATATGGTGGAGAGTATAAAATAAAGGAGCCTAAAATACAATATTAACATTTAAATTACCATTATATACATAGTTTTACAATAATGAGGTTCAATGGAGGAAAAAAAAACATCTTTATTCATGGTGTTGATTTGAATTCTTATAAAACAATAATAATTGAGTTAGTTTTCTATTCAATATTTCTGTAATAATTTTACCAACTTATAACTTTTTTTTTTCCTTTATTATTAAAACAGATCATGCTTACATCAATCATTTTGGACATTGTCAAGC